TATATATATATATAAATATAAGAGATATTAATTTATAAGGATAAATTAAATATATAAATTCCGTCATCTCTTCATTAAATAAATAAGTGAATTAAATCTGTGAGACGGATTTAATTTAAACCATATTTATTTAATTGTTCTCTTATCTGATTAGGCAATATTTAATATTGTATTAATTTCGGAATTAATTTAGAGTTAATTTCGAAATTAAATATTATTCATTAAACCTATAGCATCCTATATATTTGATATGAGGAGCTAGGGTTTTAGTGTGAGAGCACCAACAGATAAGAGACGGCCTAAGAGAGGAGAGAGGACGGATTTTGAAAACCCTAGACAGACATAGGCGCTAGCATGCCGTTCGAGCTTGAGGGCTACTCGTGTGGATACTGGTAGAGGAAGCCGACCGGAGTTGTCGACTTCGAACGACAAAGGAGGCGATCAGAAGCATCCTGAACGGCCGAATCATCGAGTCACCAGGAAATCGAACACCAAAGGTAATGTTTCTTACTACCTGACTTAAACGCGATCGGTAGATCCGGGAAGGGGTTGAAAGTTTTTAAAATTTCGAGTTGTTTTTTTCCGCTGCGCGTCGTCTTTCAATTCCCTTCACAAGAACCAAGTTTGGATGTTAGTTGATCTTCCAAAAGGGCGTAAAGCCATTGGGAACAAGTGGGTTCTCAAAATTAAAAGAAAAGTGGATGGATCAATTGACAAATACAAGGCTCGATTAGTGGCAAAGGGGTACACGCAACAGGAAGGAATAGATTATGAAGATACGTTCTCACCTGTTGTGCGTTTCAATTCTATTAGACTTATTTTGGCAATAGTAAACAGTTTAGATCTAGAATTACATTAGATGGATGTAAAAACCGCATTTCTGAATGGTGATCTGGATGAAGAAATCTATATGGAACAACCATTAGGTTTCATTGAAAAAGGAAAAGAAAATAAAGTTTGTAAACTCAAAAGGTCCATTTATGGATTGAAGCAGTCATCCAGACAGTGGTATTTGAGGTTTCACAAAGTGATAACCTCATATGACTTCCAAATGATAGAGGAAGACCACTGCGTCTACATTAAGCAGTTTGAGGGTAATTTTGTCATATTATCCTTATATGTAGATGATATACTATTAGCCGGAAATAGTCTAGATTCGGTGGTGGCTATTAAAGAATGGCTTTCGACGAATTTTGAAATGAAAGACATGGGTGAAGCAGAGTATATACTTGGAGTTAAGATCCAAAGAAATCGCTCAAAACGAATCCTCTCTCTTTCACAAGAGAATTACATCAACAAGATTCTTGAGCGATTTAACATGAAAGACTGCAATCCCATGAGTACACCCGTTGCCACTGGAGTGGCTTTGAGTTCTGACATGTGTCCCAAAACCGAGTCTGACAAAAAGAAAATGGAAAGAGTTCCATATGCCAGTGCTGTTGGCAGTCTGATGTATGCAATGATGTGTACAAGACCAGACATCTATTATGCAGTAGGACTGGTGAGCAGATTCCAGTCTAACCCCGGTGAAAAGCATTGGAAAGCGGTGAAGAGGATCTTGAGATACTTAAAGGGAACTTCCAATTATGCACTGTGCTACGAAGGAGGTGACCTGCGTCTTGTTGGGTACTCCGATGCTGATGTAGGCGGAGATGAAGAAGAACGAAGGTCAACTTCAGGTTATACCTTCTTGCTCAACAATGGCGCCATATGTTGGAGTAGTAAGAAGCAAACGTGCATTGCCTTACATTCAATGGAAGCTGAGTTTGTGGCATGCACTGCAGCAGTGCAAGAGGCTTTATAGCTGAAGAGATTTATAGAACACCTTGGATTTGGAAACGAGAGTACCAATCCGGTGATGGTATACTGTGACAATACTGCAGCCATAGCCTATACTAAAGATCCTAAGTATCACAGCAAAACCAAGCATATTGACATCAAGTATAATTTTGTTAGAGATTACATAGCATAAAAGATTGTTACTGTACAATATATTTCAACCAAATGTATGGTAGCAGATCCTCTGACAAAGCCAATAGGCGAAAGAGTTTTTAAAGAACATGTACAAGCCCTTGGCATACATAAAGTGTAATATGAATGCTTCATTAATGAAATTATATTTCGTTATCACTTTATGTGTCTGTTCGAAAGTATACAATGTCTAGTATGTCGTACAGGTTAAAAAGGTTGGCTCTCTCACACGGTCAACCGCCTTTGACACTCAGGTGGAGTGAACAAAGATGAGACATTTGTGTTCACCAGTAAAGCAGCAATGAATGTTGATATGGTAGAGAAGAAACACAAACTTTATGTCGCCTTGACTAAAGTGTAGCAAGTCAAGATGAGATCCACGTTGATAAAGTTGGATCGAAGTTTGGAATCCCACTTCCATAATACCTGTAGCCAGACAACAAACTCTTCAACGTCGACGTCATAATAATGAGTAGAGTTGAAGAATTCGGGTTTAGATACTGAGTGTATCTGGACCTAAGTCTGTATGGTGTTAATAATAAATCTAAATCGACATACGCTCTTATAGTAAAAGAGTAACACCGTAGCATGTGTTTCATACCACATATGCTGAGAGAATCGCAAAAGGGAAGCAAGAGAAAGATCCCTGCTTCATTGCTATGTGAGTCCCAGGGAGGAATTATCCTCCTATTAGTGTCCTTTGACTTTGACAATATCATGAAGATATGTTTCAGTGACTGCTACTTTGGCATATGTCCTATGGTCATGATTGATGCGATCTAAGGTAGTATGCCAAGAAAGCGACTGATTCATTTCAAAGTGATATTTGGGCGAAAGGAAGATTGACTGTGATATACACACCTATGCTAGTGTCTGTGACATGTCCCTTATGACATTTTATGGTCGTAAGTGTGGATACTAGACATAAGAGAAAGGTAATCTGAGTCAACTATTGACTCGAGAGGGATTAGATTTACCATGAAAAAGTGTATATAAGTAAATCTAGGACATCTGAGGCATAATTTTAAAATTCACACTACATGAAAGGAGAAGGTAACTTGTGCTGGTCCTATAAAAGGATTTCTAGTACAGGCACCTAAATGAAGACGTCATGCCCACGCGGTCATGGCAAAGCACTAAGTATGAAACTGAGGGGAGACGGAGAGATGAGACCCATGACACCTAATCCACCAAGTGTGAGTGGGAAATGTAGGAAAATAGGCCTGTCCACCCTTGGTGGATTGGGCCCAAGCCCATTAACTTTGGGGGCTCTAATGCAAATAACATAACCTATGGGTCTCAAATGGTGATTTGCAATATTTCTTAAAACTATGGATAAGGACAGACGGGTGCGGAAGTTTTTTCTTTAAGATAAAAGAATCAGTTTTGTGAAACTGATTTTTTAACTGGCTCCTCTTTCCTTCTCGCCGGAGCTCTCTCTTCTGACTCCCAAGAAAAAAAACCATAGTGCATTTGCTGTGAGCATCAATACCGATTCCATTACCGTGATCGGCATTCCGTGCGTGGCTATCTGAAATTGCTTGACACTTCAGGTATGCCCGAACTCCATGATCTATCAGCCACTTCTTCCACTATCCGAAGAAGACATGGAAAACGTAGTGAAATCCACATACGACTAGCTTGACATAATATTCAACAATGTTGAGGTGTTAGGGAATCAATCAAAGAACAAAAGATTGTCAACTTCGATGCCAACAAGTTTGACAAAGTCATGTGAGTGAACGTGAAGGGTGTAGCTCTCGGAATCAAGCATGCAGTAGAGTGATGATACCTAGGCAACCTGGGCGCATCATATTGACGTTGAGCACCATCGAAGTCATGGGAGGACTGGGTCCCTATGCTTATAAAGCTTCAAAGCATGCCATGGTTGGGCTCACGAAGAACATAACTTCTGAGTTGGGGAAATATGGGATTCAGTTTAGCTTGTGAGTTGGGAAAATCTGGGCGCCGTCGAACTCATTGTGGTTAGCTTGGAGAGATGAGACAAGTAGATGATAGGGAGAGCCACTTTACTTGGGTGACAGAGAGAGAGAGAGAGTGCCAGATCACCCTCTACCACTTTACGTTAACAACATTTGCAACTTTTGCTGACGGAAGGATCGATGAATTTAACAAAACTACCTATAAGGATTCAATAAAAAGAAATAAAATTGTAGGGATCTAATTCAAAATCTAATTAAACTATAAGGACTAGCAAATATATCTTTCCTTAATTTTGTATTAAATTAATAGGGGTAAAATTGAAAAAAAAAACATTAATTATACTACAAGTGATTTATATTTTAAAACAAATTTTTGGAGTACAAGTGACTTATAATAAGGAACAGAGCGGTAACAGTTTGTTACGCGTGTGGTCAAATAGTCAAAACTCATTTGCTCACTTACAGCTGTAATAACACGTGTCATTGCTTTAGTTCACACTAGCTTACATTACTGCTATATAATGTACTGGACTATTCGATAATCAATGAGATCAAGATCTGCAATTCATCTCTAAACCTTACCTTCTCACACAGATTGTCCCATCATGCCTTTAGGCAATACCAAATTTCATTTGCCGAGATCAAACTCGGATATCAACACCACCTACTCGTTTGAATGAGAATGATAGAGTTCAAGACAAAGGCCCAAAAGCTCCCCCCATCCATCCCAAATCTTACTCTCAGCAGAAGTCTAATTCCAAATCTCAAGTACAAATCACCCAAGGCAATACATGGCAAATTCAATCATTTTCCTTTTGTCTTAATTTCTATTTAGTACTAAGATTACATTTTAATTCAATTTTGCCGGACCAAACCTCACTATTTTGATTTGTTCTCTGCTGTCCTAATCGAATTTGTTGACTTAACTCCGTAAAAATATCACGATCTTGACTTATCATTATTAATTTACATAGGTTAAGTTAGGTTGGTGCAAAGTAAAATTGTATATCAACCGTCAATATCTTCAATAGAAAATATCAACACTGACACATTGTTCCAGCAATTAATATCAACACTGATACATTGTTCCAGCAATTCGTCAACATCTTTGAAATCATACATGAAACAGAGCATATCAAATCCAACAGCATCCCAAAACATATATGGGGAATTTCTTTTGGTTCCCTCCTTTGTCATCATGGAACACTAAATAGGCGATTAACTAAATAAAACCGAATCTCAAATGCCGTACATATTGTACTCAATTAAAACCGATACCACACAACCATCAAACAAAGAAGATATCTCTCCAAAAGAAAAGGGATCACCGACCCACACAAACACCATAAAGTATACGAAAGAGGAAATTATTGATTGGATCAAACATTATCAGCGTTGTCTGGCTTTGAATGGTGAGTTGGAGGAGGCGAATGAGGAGGAAAAGAATTAGGAGGAGTGGGGGGCACACCGAAGACTTGAGGATGCGTCTTTATATCTTGTCTGCCTCTGGCTCTTCCCAGGAAATAGCATCCCAAACCCAGAATTAAGTAGAAGAGAATCAGAGGCAGAGATATCACCACCACCATACCCATCTTTCTAGAGCTTTAGTTGACCAATTTGAGCGGCTCACAGGAGCAGATGATGACGATGAAGACGATGAAGACGATCAAGGAGCAGAACGAGTGGTCTAAAAATCTGAGAAACGATTGGGAAGTATATGTACTATGCACTGGAAACTGAGAAAGGTGGGTTTATATACATACACACGGACGTGAAAGACGAAAAAGAAGAAATGGGAAGTGTTGGAAGATAAAGCCCAAGCCCAATAAGTTGTGTTTCATCTATTTCTATCATTGTATTTTTAGTTTATTAGTCAGATTGAGATTCTAGCCTGATTAGGATAGATTATGATAGATTCTTTTTATCATTTAGTCATTTATCTTTTACCGTAGCCTAGCTTTATATATTCTGTACCATTCTACTTCAGAATCATTCAATAAAACAGAATTATTCTCTCGCCTAATCCTCATGGTATCAGAGCAGAACAACCGAGAGAGTGAAAGTCGCTGCGTCCAGCACGACTAGGACCGACTACCGGCGTGAGAGAGAGTGGAAGTCGCCACCTTCAGCGCGACTAAGACCAGCGAGAGAGAGAGAGTGAAAGTCGCCGCGTTCAGCACGACTAAGACCGTCTTCGCTGGTCGCATATAGTCACGCCCACAATTGGGTGATTCGGCCGCATACAAGATAGCGACTAAGGTCAGGGTAACTAGTCGCATGATGCCACACTCCTAATCGAGTAATCCGTCGCACCGAAGACAGCCAATAAGACTGACCAGATTTGTGAACCTGACGCGAACGAAGATCGTCGTAAGATGGATGGAAAGTTTCCACCTCTGTTTGGAACAATGAGTCGATCTCCTTCAGCATTAACGGCAGGTACAGCACCGTCTCATTCTTCTTCTGGGTCAGTTTCGACTACCTCTTCTTCCCCTACGGGAATAGAATCTGGAATGGTCACAGAAACGCAGCAGATGCTGATCTCTCACAAGTTGAACGGAAGTAATTATTTACAATGGTCTCAAAGCGTCCTTATGTACCTACGAGGCGGAAGAAAGGAAAAATATATAACTGGGGAGGCTCCGCAACCAAGTCCAGATGACCCGAAGTATGAATGACACTTGGTTTGCTGAAAACAATCTAGTAATGACCTGGTTATGTAATTCCATGACGACAGACATTAGTGAAGGCTATTTACTTGCTAAGACAGCAAAGGAGATATGGGATGCTGCAAAACGAACATACTCTGCTATGGAGAACACTGCTGCTCTGTTTCAAATCAAAAAATTGCAAAGAGAGATGAAACAAGGAAGCATGACGGTGACGCAATATTATACTGCTCTCACACGCCTGTGGCAGCAGTTGGACATGTTCGATGTCCATGAATGGAAGTGTAGCAGTGATGCCCAGTTATATAGGGAACTGGTCGAAAAAGAAAGAACCTATGAGTTCTTACTCGGTCTCATTGACGTGTTTGATGATGTGAGAGGAAGAATTATAGGTATGAAACCGTTGCCATCACTATTTGAAACTTTCAACATGGTTAGGTGTGAAGAAAGCAGAAAGCAGCTTACCCTAAGTGTATCTACACCCTCTGAGAGTTCGGCGTTGACAGTACAGAGCAACAACGGACCAGAACAGAGAGGAAAGAAGAACTCCAAAGGATGGTGTGATCATTGCAACAAAAATGGTCATACTAGGGACATATGCTGGAAATTACACGGCAAGCCAGCAAATCTAAAGCAAAAACAAAGACCAGAGAGTAGGGGGTATGTTGCTGCGACTAGCGAGAATGAAGAGAATGGGGAAACTCTTAGCCGAGAAGAGTTACAAGTGCTCAAACGAATTCTGGAGAAACATAACAACTCAACCACCAACCCTAAAGCAAATCTGGTAAAGTCAGGTAATTCCATTATAGCTTTAAACGCCATGGTAACAAGTGATAACACTTGGATTGTTGACTCTGGAGCTACAGATCATATGACAGGTAATAAAGCTTTGTTCAAAATCCTAAAGTATTGTTATGATGAGAATCTTAAGGTGAAAGTTGCTAATGGAATTTTTTCCAAAGTATGTGGTGTTGGAAGTGTTGAGATCTCAGATAACTTAGAATTGAAAAATGTTCTATTAGTCCCGGCACTTGCATGTAATTTGCTATCAGTGAGTAAAATAACTAAAAATCATCACTGTAGAGTATTTTTTGATGATACCGATTGCGTTTTTCAGGATTTGACAACGAGGAGGAGGATTGGTATTGCTAAAGAATGGGATGGACTCCATTATCTTGAAGGCTCTAGGATCACCAATAAACAAGTGGGCAAGGCGTTGTTTAGTTCAAATTCTTCAAATAAGGATGTATTATTATGGCACTCTAGGATAGGCCATCCCAGTTTTGATTACATGAAACATTTATTTCCAGATTTATTGAATAAAAGTTCAGTTCCTTTTCTCTGTGAAACCTGCCAACTTGCAAAACAAACACGAACTTCTTACCCCATACAACCCTATAAACCAACAGCACCCTTCACCTTGATACATAGTGATGTCTGGGGACCCGCAAGAGTTAAATCAACCTCTAATGCTAGGTGGTTTGTTACTTTTATTGATGACCACACACGAGTGACTTGGGTATACCTAATGAAAGAAAAATCAGAAATTTTCAACATATTCGGAAGTTTCCACACATTCGTACAAACTCAGTTCTAAAGAACAATCAAGATATTAAGAAGTGACAACGCAAGAGAGTACCTCAGCACAACCTTGAAGGAATTTCTTGATCAGCAAGGAATCCACCACCAAACCTCATGCACATACACCCCACAACAAAATGGAGTAGCTGAACGGAAAAACCGACATCTCCTAGAAGTCACCCGAGCCATTATGATTGCCAGGAATGTTCCAAACCATTTTTGGGGAGAAGCTATTCTCACATCAACCTACCTCATCAATAGAATGCCCACGAGAGTACTCAACTACCAAACTCCCATTCAAAAACTTCTTGAAACCTACCCAAATTCACCCTTGGTTTCCAACATTCCCTTGAAAGTATTTGGGTGTGTAGTGTACATACATCGAGATGATGGAAACAAACTTGATTCAAGAGCTCTAAAATGTATTTTTCTTGGGTACTCCCCTACCCAAAAAGGATATAAGTGTTATTGCCCTACAACAAAGAGAGTTTATGTCACTAAGAATGCTGTGTTTTCAGAAGAAGATGCCTACTATCCCAAATTGCCCATTCAGGGGGAGAATTATGACACAAAAGAATGGCTAACTTTGGGTACCCTAGTTCAAACAGGCCTAGACAAACACCCTGAACCAAACCTAGCCGTACCTGAATCTGAAAACCTACATTCCTCTACTCAACCCGAACCTGAAAATCCAAACCCACAAGCCTCCTCTACTGAACAAAATGTGGAAAATGGTGTTGAGGTGAGCACAGGGATGGACCAGGAGTGTAATACTGAATCAGATAATGAACAAGTCGATTCAGAAGAGCAGCAGAATAATAGAGTCTCTCACATTCCGAGGCATAACCAAGTCTCCAATCCAATGTTAGATCCTGAAGAACTTGGGTGGCCAATTGCTCTCAGAAAAGGGGTAAGATCCTGTACTCAACATCCTATCAGTAAATTTGTTTCCTATGACAAATTATCTTCTAGAATGCAGACGTTTGTAGCAAACTTGTCCAGTGAAAGAGTACCCAAGACATTTCAAGAAGCTATGGGTAACTCTAATTGGAAACAAGCTAGCAATGAAGAGTTGGAAGCATTGAAACATAATGAAACGTGGAAAATCACTGATTTACCCTCAGGAAAGAAGACTGTGGGATGTCGGTGGGTTTTTACCATCAAGTACAATCCAGACGGAAGCATAAACAAATATAAAGCAAGACTTGTGGCACGAGGATATACACAAACATATGGGGTTGACTATCAAGAAACCTTTGCCCCGGTAGCAAAGCTCAACACCATTAAGGTCCTCTTATCAGTAGCAGCAAATTTAGACTGGCAACTTTATCAGTTAGATGTGAAAAATGCCTTCCTAAATGGAGATCTTAAAGAAGAAGTATATATGAAGATACCTGCTGGCCTCCAGAATTCAACAAATTGCTCAAAGGTCTGCAAACTCCAGAAATCATTATACGGACTGAAACAATCCACTAGAGCTTGGTTCGAAAGATTCTCAGCAACAATGAAGAAGATGGGATACTCACAAGGGCAATCAGATCATACGCTCTTTGTAAAACATGCTGGTGATCAAATCACTATCCTAATAGTGTATGTAGACGATATTGTGATTACAGGAAACGATGAAAGTGTCGTAAGTAAGTTAAAGAAATCATTGGCAGCTGAGTTCGAGATGAAAGATCTGGGACAGATGAGGTATTTCCTTGGGATGGAGATTAGTAGAACCAAACAAGGAATAAATGTTTCTCAGAGAAAGTACACACTAGATTTGTTGCAAGAAACAGGAATGCTTGGAGCTAAACCTGCAGAAACTCCTATGGAGACAGATTGCAATCTGGAATACAAGAAAGATGGTACACCGGTTGACACTGGAAGATACCAACGGTTGGTAGGAAAGCTTATTTACCTGGCTCATACACGACCAGATATAAGTTATGCTGTGGGAGTTGTAAGCCAGTTTATGAATCAACCGCAAGAACAGCATATGGAAGCAGTGTACAGAATTTTGAAATATTTGAAGACGAATCCAGGAAAAGGTTTATTCTTCAAGAAAGGAGAGTCCAGGGGGATAGAAATCTACACGGATGCTGATCATGGGTGGTCCTTACTAGATAGGAGGTCCACTACTGGATACATTACTTACTTATGGGGAAATCTGGTAACCTGGAGAAGCAAGAAACAACCAGTAGTTTCCAAAAGCAGTGCCGAGGCAGAACTAAGGGCACTGGCTCTTGGGGTCTGTGAAGGAATCTGGATAATTAGAGTTCTAAAAGAGCTGAGACTGATGCATAATGGGCCAATAAAACTCTGGAGTGATAGTAAATCAGCTATAGAAATGGCTCTAAATCCAGTGCACCATGATAGAACAAAACATGTTGAAATTGATAGACACTTTATAAGGGAAAAAATAGAAGGTGGTATCATTGATTTATCTCACATTCGAACCAAGAATCAAGTAGCAGATTCGTTTACTAAGCTGCTACCCAGAGACTCATTTGAGGGACATAGAAGCAAGCTGGGAATGATCGACATCTACTCACCAGCTTGAGGGGGAGTGTTGGAAGATAAAGCCCAAGCCCAATAAGTTGTGTTTCATCTATTTCTATCATTGTATTTTTAGTTTATTAGTCAGATTGAGATTCTAGCCTGATTAGGATAGATTATGATAGATTCTTTTTATCATTTAGTCATTTATCTTTTACCGTAGCCTAGCTTTATATATTCTGTACCATTCTACTTCAGAATCATTCAATAAAACAGAATTATTCTCTCGCCTAATCCTCAGGAAGTATAAGCAGTCAGTGCAGAAAATGAAGGAAGGTGGGAATCTATATATATGGAAGACGATTCTAGCCAAGACCGCTTGTGAGGCCTGAAAGGTTTCAGATTCTGTCGTTTTATGAGCAGGTGAAGGTGGGACGGGCTTAACAATCAGGTTTCAACGGTCACTGGTTGTGGGGCCCTGCACATTAGATGCTATGCTATTCTTCACAATATAGCGCTGGCACGTGTGCTTGTATTCTAACAAATAATTTTCTGACAAATACTATTTCAGGGATTTTCTCACTTATCTTTATCTTTTTTTTTAAAATAATTTTTATACCATCTCCGTTTCAAAATACAAACTAAATTTTTTTTAAAAGGTTGATTTTTTTATAAGATACTCTCTCAGATTTAAAATATAAGTTAAATTTTATCTATAACACTTATCAAGAAACTAGTTAAAATTAGTTTAAAACAATAAATATGCAAGGCTTATATTTTTTCCCAAATATGCCCTTATTAATGAAGAGCTAGTTGACTACTTTGAGTAGATTTAAGAAGTTTGTTAAGTTAGTTATTTGTAATAAATATGAGTTGAATTTCTTATAATACTTTTGCTAATCATATATATTAGCTAGAGTTACCAATTAATGAAATATTTAACATATGCAACTACCACAAGGATTATCTTAGAAAAAAAAGATACATAGAAAAGATAAAGTGGATTGGAATCTTATATTTATGATCGAATTGAAAGACAAACTGGCTTTTATATTAAGACTGGAACTAGTACAAAGTATATATGTGAAAAGAGTTTTGTCTCGATTTATGTGAAAGTATCTTTTAGAAGTGTTTTTTTTTTTTATTGAATCAAACACTCCAATAATCATATAAGTATAAACATAAGTATTTTGCAGCCTAATAAGCCCTGACTATTTTGAGCTATGCAAGGACGGGCTTCTCTATTTAAGAATGATGCCTTGTCAATGCCATATGTGAGGAGAAAAAAACCCTCTCCAATCATATCTAAAAAATACATTTCATTTAATCTATAATTAACTTTTAAAATATTAAAATATAAAATATCAAGCTATATCAACATATTCAATTTAACAAATACAATCACCTCTCTAAAATGTGACTAGATTCATCAATTGTTGTTGTATATTAGCAAATGAGTTATACTTTTTTTCCTATGTTTACGAAATCATCTCCCTAGAAAGTGACTACATTCATTATGTCCCCGATGTATGTTTTTATATCAGCAAATGAATTATGTTCCTCATGGCTTATGACTTAAAATCACAAGAGGGCTTCATATCCTTATAGGTTTTATATTATCCATAATGATGCTGACAACAACCCAACTAAAATTACAAATTTACTATAATAATCCTCCAAGTTACGAGTTCCAGCTTCTTCACTAAGAATAAAGCTTAAAATATAACTAGCTCTTTTTCAAACTATCACAGAGATAAGCATATAACAATATATATCAATTTAAATTTAAAATCATATGTAAATAATCAAACATTGATCAATTAGAGGGATGATGAAAAAGGGGAAGATATTTTTTCCAAAAAAACATAATGACAAAAATATAATATAATTTTGTACTATATAATATTATAAGAGATATATAAGCATATATATATATATATGTTTTCGGGAAGGCGGCATGCTTTGTCCACAGCTCCACCTTGCATGTAATTAGCTCAGCCCAAAAAAGCCCATATTTATTCGGGTTGCTTTTTCTTCTAGACTAAAAAGTGACCTGGCCTCGTGAACATTTCTATTGTCAAGATTCACATTCTTTTGATTTTGCTTTATGCAAAACAACCCAAAGGTTTTCGTAATTCTAAGGGCCATGTCTTCTCTAATGTAAGGTCATTCTCGTGTTAGTGCTCACAAATGATGAATGCAACTTGGACATAGTAGGTTAGAGCCGAGACATTATTATTATTTTTAAAAGACACTAATAGCTTTACTTGAATTTTTTAATGTTATTTTTTATGTTTTCATTAATTATTATTTAGTCTCACTGCATCAATTATCTTATTTACCCATTTTCTCAATCACTCACTTTCTATAAATAAGAGTATTTTTAAAAACAAGTTGTATCTTTTATATATTATTGTTTTAAACCAATTTTAACTAACTCTTTCCACATAATTTAGTTATTTGTATGCCATAAAAGGAAAAAAAAAACACCAAATGGGGTACATTTCTAAATTATCAAACCCTTACTCAGTGAAACTAGGAAAGTAAAATTGAAGCATCTAATTCATTTACACCTATGACCTTTTAGAAGAATCTTGAAAGAAATTTTTTTTTAAAATTTTCAAATTCTAAATCAGTCTTATCCGCTACATTTTAATAAAAATTGACGACATTTGGGGAAAAAAAATTGATAACACGTTCATTTTCATTCTTTGCCATTCCTGATTTAGGTTTTTGAAATTTTAAAAGTTTTTTTTTTTTAGATTTTTCCTAACCTTTTTTTTTTCCAGAATTCTCTTGAATTGCCGAGACAGCTGGTCAAAATCTCACTGAAACACTAAAATTATTGTCATATCTATTTTTGGTGAAGAACGTAGTTGGACGCCAGTCTTGAACAAATTTTAAGCATCTTCCACACTCGTAAATATTAGACCAAGAACTCCTTTTCGCATGAGAAAATTTTTATTGCATGAGCATTCGACTCTATTTAGAGGGACAATCTGGTCCATCTGAAAATCATTTACTTCAACTGCCACATTTCATATTCTGGATTACTGACCTTGTAATGACAACGATTTGTATTTGGATATGATAACAGAGAGCGATTTGGACCTTAACATATCATTCCCACTGACCTACCAGATAAAAATTTCAAAAGTGCAACACAGCTTTTTTGTCTTATAATACACAAATCTCTCTTAAGTAGGGACGAAGTGTGGAAACAAAGAAGCTATAGCATTTTATTTGCCTTGAACTGACTACAGTACTGTCTATGTCTTTGCAGTATCATCATCGTCTCCTATCTTGCTACTGTGAAACCCGTATACTTTGATATTTTCAAGGAAAAAAATTAGAATGTTGTACAGTAAAAGGAAATGTAAGAGGAGAAAACTCTCACACACACACACACATCCTTGAAAGAATCGAATTTGTATGGTATATGTCATATCATTTTCTCAAATTTATCAAGCTTCTTTACCCTTTGCATAGACCTGAAGAACAGTGTCATAAAAAAACCTGCATGACCAGGCGGTGCTAATCAGCCACATGAAAGGGAAGAAGAACTGAAGACTCAAACAAGAACATAAGGTTATGGATAACTTCAATTTCTTCAGATATTAAACTTAAGAGACAGCCGCAAATCGGGTGACAACCGCATAAAATTGGCATTCATAATCAGACCCCCTACAACACAAGGGTGCAGTGCAGAGCCTACACAATAGAAATCCACCGACAAGAAACTGCCTCGTTCAGTGGCCATGGAGGCTGCAAATGTGAGCAGCCAGATCACTTAACCCAATGCTCACTGTTGGATCTCTGTTGTCCAGGCTCTGCACAGCACCCCCAGATGTCTAGGATAACAGAGCTGCATAAATTGCGGGTCCCACTTAAAAAGATGGACCTCACAATTACTATGGATCCCCGTCATTTGTCCCCATCTTATATTAATATTGTCAATTTTTCCCAAAAATAGAAAAAAAAATAGAGAGAGAGGATGAACATCTTGATACAAGCGTTACAATATATCTTGATACAAGCGTTACAATATATAGTTACCTGCACCAACGAAGGATCCATTTGCAATGGCGATATTGCCTTGGGTGGCCAAGGTGACGCCAAGATTTAGCAAGGTTCCTCCCAGTACTATATACATAGTTGCCATTTGCAACACTGTTGCTTTTCGAGAAGCTCTCTCAGACTGAGAAATTGGGCCACAAGTTTGAGATGAGAATTTGTACGCAAAATAATGGCATCTTCATATATTATTTCTGTCAAGGGGGAAAATGTTACATTCCGTGCCTTTTAAGGTCTGAGGAATGCTTTTTATTTAACAACTTTTTTCATAACTTCACTCTTATGTAGAGGCACATCAGAATAAATTAGGCAGTGCTAAATTTGTTTTTGTGATTATATTTGACCTCCTTAGTTCGTTGTTCTGTAGCCAGTCCTGTACGAATATATATTTTTTTTTAAAAAAAAAAAAGTTACCTCAAGCACCCGGACCCGCAGTTTCAGATCCCCATCCTCAAGTTGCTTCACAAACTCCTCTATTCTCTGTACTCTGTACGGCATTGACATGGTCGAGGATCTTGCCTAACAAAGGAACAAATGGTACAAGTTGATTGATAATAGCATCATTGAATAATCGTGTTTTCAAAAATTTCCTTGTGTCAAGGAATATCATCTGGACCGGGAAAAAAAAAAAAAAAAAAAGAGGAGTTCCAGATACTGTTTCATACGTCATCTGCCTGTTTCCTTATTTGCTCCACTAGTCGTGGCCCTGTCTGCTGCTTTTGCCGTACATCTAGAAGTTCCTGTGCAAAATGAAATGCAAATTAATATCAAATTAAAGTAGACAGTGCTACCTTTAACTCATGATCATTGTAACTTATTACCTGGACTCCACGGGATGCATGGAAACCCACTTAGAGTTAGAAAACTTATCACATTATGAGAAAACTACTTCGTCAAAGAAAATACGCACCTGAGCATAAGGTGCAGCAATCTTCACGAAAGAAAAATCTGGATTGAGCATGTAACCTATGCCTGTTAAAAAGGAACAAGCAGTGGGCAGAAGAAAGGGTTTAAAAAGAAAGGGCAGCGCATCAAATCATATTCATTAATTCCTCTTTCTGCTATTGGACTACTGACTGAATAAAATTTTCTGAAGCCAAAAGAAAGAGGCACACCTTCAAGAGTTGAGAAGGCCCTGATAACAAAGGTGAAAGTGGACGGAAATCGGAAAGGTTGATCTTGAGCTATAGCAAATAAATCCTGCCACAAAAAGCCCCAGTTTACAAACTGCCAGGTCTGGATCATAAGGGAAAATGCAATAACCCTTTAAATTTTGAGCAAACACCCTCATCAAATTTAAAATAGGAAAATAAGCCCCATAATTATCACCCGATAATGGCAAACTTGTGTTTCGATAAACCAAACACAGAAGCTGTCCTCTTTACCAATGACAGCCAGGGAATAGAAAAGATTGATGCTATTCTTGTGAGCAGGAACCATAATAGTAAAAGTATGGTTGTGTTTTGTATCGCACTCAATACTATCTATGCTCTTAGAGGATTTTTTTGAATTGCAGTTATATTTTTGGTGTGTTTAATAATTTTTCTTTTTACTAACACAAACGTCTGTATCTTGAAGTATTATATCATATATTTTCCAAAAACAGAAATACTGATTTACTGGATATGTCATGTGTAGTTATCTCCGTTATAGCAAGTCACAAATGGCCCGAAGTTGAAGGCGGCCATTTGCATAGCTTTTAAAATTATTATGCTCAACCATACCAGTAATTATCAATCTTAAGATGATTGCTGTCAACAAAGGGAAAAAACACCCAGAGTAGTGTTAAAAGCAGCCAAAAATTCATTGATCCATTATTAGTAATCATGCACATACTTCCCCAATTGCAGCCAAAGTTTGCTGCTGATCCGGTGTCTGGCTTAGCAAATTGTCCAAGAAAAACTGTACAGATCTTCTTACCTGGAAATCACATTAGGCATTCGTAACTGTAAGATATGTATTATAAGTAGAAAGCACTGAACCAAGATAAACTGTACAGATCTCCTTACATAGAAGACACATAAAGGCATTTATAGCTCTTGGACACCGATTATGAATAAAAGCACTGAAATAGAAATCTTATCGAGTCCAAGAAGTTCATTTACTTACTGATGATAAGTCTCCAGTGGGTTGAAGGGCACCAAGATCAATAAGGCATTGCATAACCTGCACCATTGCTGTATGTTAGTTACATTTTTGCGATAAAAATCTTTACTTTCATCTTTACTAGATGCATAAGTTAGATCTTCTGGGAATAGTTTGAGCAAGAATCTTACTCAAAGAAAGCTAATAGCCAAGGAGAATCTCCAGGAAAACAATGGAATTCTGATTATGACTCAAGATGCCTTTTACAAATTGACATGCGATTGTTTATAAGCAAGAGAATTCACCAGACTCCCTAAAGTATCCGGACCACTAGCAAACTGACTCTGAAAGTGGCATAACAGACCTCAACATGTTTAATTAAAATAATAAAAATACCTAAAATAAGATACTTGACTAATAACTGACACCTACTACCCCTAAACTTAGGTGGCATCTAAACTGATCACTAATAAATAAACTATATATTCTGCCAAGAAATAAAGTGTGCTATGTTACTGCTTTACAAATGACCTCCTTCCACCAGAGGTGATAAGTGGTCTATTACTAGATTTTTCCCCCCACATTCAATAAAAGGAATCAACAAAAGTTCACAAAGATATAAAATGTTCTAATACAAATAAATCGACCCACTAGCAGTTGTGAAAAATGTTTAAACATTTCCATTTCTTATTTATCAAGCTCTCTTCAGTTTTGGACCAACCAAAGAATCATTTCATAAGATACTAGAAGCAGACGGGGGAAGAAAATTTATCCTGAATAGAATATCGAAGTATCTATCATTTGACAGTAGATAGTTAGAATGAGATAATATATAAAATTTGAAGTGAACCATGACAGACAGCAGAAAGCTAGACCTTCTTAGCATCCTTCTCATAAACAGAATAAAAAAGTTCAAGCAGCCTCTCTCGGGTGAATGATTTGATATCCCCCATCATGCCAAAGTCATAATAAATAAGTGCTTCATCCACATCAACAGCAAGATTTCCAGGATGAGGATCAGCATGAAAGAATCCGGTTTTAAGTATCTGCAAGAAGCAAAATGTGATATATTTCCAACCAATAAATTTTCGCTCTTATTGACAAGGTATAGAGTTGTTTAAAAAAAATTTTTTTTTTGGGGGGGGGGGGACAATATGAATAAAAGCGCTTTTTTATTCTCAGCAACAGAAAAGTAATCGTATTCAAATCAAATACCTGAATCAAGTATGCTTCAATAGCACGTGATGAGATCTTCATTCGATCATAACCTCTTGACGTTAGTGCATCCACCTGATTTATTTTGATACCTAATCCAGAAGTAAAATCATGGTAAGATGGTTTAAGAAATTAAGTTCAATAAAACAATGACGTGCAATTTTTCAACTTGAAAAGTATTATTAGGATCCATTGGTAAAACCAAAAGAGGGAAAAAAAAATACAAAAACAAAAATTACTTAAAAGTGCCAAAGAAGGAACTAAATCTAAATACACAAAAGTATCATGAAATCTACAAATAACTCCCAAGTCACTTATATGTCAATAAGTTTTCATACCCAATTACTAATATACCTTCATTAAAAATTATTAAAACCAAAAAAAAAAAACAGAAAACAAAAACAAAAACAAAAACTTAAGCTACAGGTGGCTAGACCTCTGGCGACCAACGGTCAATTTTTGGATGGGGAGGTCTTAATGGGATACAACCCCAAACCACTTGTTTCCCAAAATGATCGTTAACTGTTGAGCCACTCGAGCACTTTGATATCATAATGCAAAATATCATACACAAGTAGTAACTCGAGCTCAAAATAAAAAGGGTTCAAATTTGCTTCAGAAATTTTTACTAAAGAGCACTGGGCACTCTTAACTTTTTTTAGATGCAAATTTGCCTTTGAAGTTTAAAATTGTAGCAATGTTGCCTCCTACTGTTCAAAATATTAACAGTCAACGTCATTATTTTAACAATTAACATTAGTTTTTTAATGATAGGGGGCAATACTGTTATGATTTTAAACTTCCGAGATAAATTTGGACCCAAAATACTTCTGAGTGCTTAGTGCTCTTGAGTGAAAACTTTTAAGGCAAATTTGTACCTTAACCCAAATAAAAATAATAACTTGGGGGTATGTAAATAACAACTTGGGTTTAAATAGAAAACAATTCAATTTTTTGTGAATAGAAACTTGAGTTTATAGAAATAGCAGCTGAGCTACATGTCAATAACAACTTGATTTACAGAAACAACAACTTAGTTTAATGTAATGACAATTTCACTTTAAGTTATTATTTACTTAAACCCAGCATTATGTTTACTGATACCTAAATTGTTATTTATGTACCTTTAGTCTTCAGTTACATTAAACTAAGTTGTTCTATCTATGAACCCCACTTGTTATTTACAGAAATTAAGTTGTTATTTACAAATACCCAAGTTGTTCCTTTTATTGTGAACACTAGCTACTGCTTGCATATTATATTTTGCATTGTCATATTAATGTGTTTAAAAAGTCCAATAGTTAATAATCATTTTGGTAAATCAGTCGTTTTGGCTACTACTCCCGCCAAAAAAACCCTATCCTAAAATGAGCCAGTCATCAGTTACTGGAGCTCCCACCAGCACTAGTGACCAATAGTGAAGGATGCTTTTTGTTCTTTTCAATGAGCGTATTTTGGTGATTGAATATGAAAAATTATTCATACAAAAGGCGTTGGAAACTTGGGAGTTATTCGCGCATTTCATGAGACTTTCTGTATCAGATTCACTCCTTGGGGCTTTAAAGTATTTTTCCCAATAAAAAAGGGATATAAGATACATGAATCAGTCAAGATGAAAACCTGGTACATACTCCAAGGTCAACACTTTTGTTGCAGTATAATCCCAATAAACCAACTGCAAAGAAGACGCGAAAAAAAAAAAAAAAAAAAGCAACATAAGGTTAGAATTGATGATTCAATTCATAGATTAACAGGTTCGATATATTTCATAAGGGAGCAGGGGGAATCGAAGGGGGGCCAAACGATGTGAGGAAACTGAAACAATCATAGTGCACAATAGTTTTTAGTATTTTTATCAAAATACATATATATATATGATAGTTTCTAGGGTTCCAGAAAGAAACATACAGGTACTCGAACCCACTTGATGTTTCGGAAATCTCGGCAGAACTTATCAGCATTCTTTCCTTCATTTATGTAATCAATTTCTTGATATAAAATCCTGCGATATAACATAAGCTACACAATTTAGTATTAGAGGAAAGCAGAGCAAGAAATCTATTACTGGAGGGAGCTCAAACACCACACATAATGACAACATAACTAATATGTGGAAATGGGTAAGCCATATCCATTTAACTAAGACAGCTTGGTCAGAAAAGAATGGACACAAAGAGAAAAGGAATTTCAAACACATTTTAATAGTTTATACTTAAATAGATGTCTATTTCCTTCCTTTATCATCCATTGCATTCAAACCAAACATATTATAATGAATAAAATGGCCAAATTTAAATTTATATAAGTGGGTTCTTTAGTGGGACAAAGAACACTATCCCAAAAGCTAGTTGTTGAATTGGGAAAACTGAAGACGCGGTATACAGAGTAATATTGATCTATTATTCAGAGTGCACTGTACATCGGATATATATAAGGAAAAGAGATAAACTGAGATAGAAGGAGATTACAGAGGATCACGCAATTAATCTAGGAGTAATTTAAATTTAAATCTGATCTCCTAATCTGCCTAGGATCGTGGGAGTAGATATTCACTAAATATTAAATATTAACTACACTCCCCCTCAAGTTGGATCATAGATGCTAATCATGTCCAACTTGCCTATAAAGTTCTCGAACAATTCTTCAGGAAGCCCTTTTGTGAGAATGTCTGCAAGTTGTTGCTTTGAGGTCACATAGGACAAACATACAATTCCATTTTCCACTTTTTCTCTGATGAAGTGTCGGTCAACCTCAACATGCTTAGTTCTGCTATGTTGTACTGGATTTAGAGCCATGTTTATGGCTGCTTTGTTGTCACAAAATAGTTTCATTGGCTTGTTGATCTGAACTTGAGCCTCCTCTGCTACTCTTTCCAACCAGAGACCCTCCATGATACCTTGAGCTAGTGCCCTTAATTCTGATTCTGCACTACTTTTAGACACAACATTCTGCTTTTTACTCTGCCATGTTACTAGATTGCCCCACACAAAGGTACAATAGCCAGATGTGGATCTACTGTCCTCAGGAGCACCTGCCCAATCTGCATCTGTGTAAATTTCCACTGTTCTAGATTCACATTTCTTAAAGAAGAGTCCTCTACCTGGTGTTCCTTTCAAGTATTTCAAAATTCTATAGGCTGCATCCATGTGTTTCTTTCTGGGTGAGTGCATATGTTGACTTGCTACACTTACTGCAAAGGCAATATCAGGTCTGGTATGAGACAAGTAGATTAACTTCCCTACTAGTCTTTGGTACCTCCCAATATCCACAGGTTCCTCATCTTTTCGTTGCTTCTTTTCTTTCTCAGCCTCTTCTTTGGTAGTTGCTTTCTTATTACACCTGTTGATGCTTCCCTTCTTGACACTCATTGGTGTTTTTATTGGCTTGCATCCCAGCATACCTGTTTCCCGTAGTAAATCGAGAACATACTTTCGTTGTGAGACATAAATTCCCTTCTTTGAACGTGCAACCTCCATTCCAAGGAAATACCTCAGTTTTCCTAGATCTTTGACCTCAAATTCTCGGTCTAAAGCTGTCTTTATTCTGTTTATCTCGGTTACATCATCACCTGTGAGAATAATGTCATCTACGTAGACAATAAGAATTGCCTTCAGTGCTCCATTCTTCTTGACAAACATTGTGTGATCTGACAGACTTTGTCTATAGCCCTCAACCTTCAGTACTTTAGAGAATCTGTTGAACCAAGCCCTGGGGGACTGTTTTAAGCCATACAAAGATTTTTTTAGCTTGCAGACTTGATTTTGCTTCCCCTTGTCAAATCCTGGAGGAAGTGTCATATAGACTTCTTTTAATTCTCCATTAAGAAACGCATTCTTAATATCTAGTTGTTGTAATGGCCAATCCAAGTTGGCTGCAATAGATAACAGAACTCGGATTGTATTTAATTTTGCCACTGGAGCAAAAGTTTCAGTGTAGTCTAGCCCATAGGTCTGAGTGAACCCCCTAGCTACCAGTCGTGCCTTAAACTTATTGAGTGTTCCATCTGCATTGTATTTCGGGGTAAAGACCCACTTGCAACCCACTGCTTTCTTCCCTTTTGGTAGATTAACCACTTCCCATGTTTCATTCTTTTCTAATGCCGTTATCTCTTCTAGTACTGCCTTCTTCCACTCAGGATGATCAAGTGCCTCATGTACATTGTTAGGTATTCTGATTTCATCAAGTTTAGTGGTAAAAGCACAATAATCAGGAGATAGAGTGGTATAAGATACATACTTTTGGATAGGATGCTTAGTACACGAACGAGCCTTCTTCCTCAGAGCAATAGGTAGGTCCTCCTCAGTGGTTCCAGGATCTTTCATTTGGTCCGATTCTGGCAGAGCTCTGGGCATGTTGGACTCTATAGTTTCTTTATCTCTCCGTGTGTACACCTTGCTATATTTTTCACTGGTCTTATCTCCCCCTGTCTTTGGCACTTGTGCAATGTTTGGAGGGATAGGAATAGGTGTCACGGACGTCACAGACTCTGTAGGCTGCATTGGGGGTATGGGCTCAGGTATGCTTTCTACACACTGAAATTCATTCCAACTCTCCCCCTGAATTGAAGAAGTGGGAAAGTACGGTTCATGCTCATAAAAGGAGACATCACGACTAATAAAGAGACGTTTAGAAGTAGGATCATAGCACTTATAGCCTTTCTGACTTGATGAGTATCCCAAGAAAAGACACTTAACAGCACGTGGGTCAAGTTTAGAAGAAGGGTGATGAAGATGAACGAAGACAGAACAACCAAAAACACGAAGCGGAAGGTGGTGATCAAGATGAGTGATGGGGTGAGTTTCGCGTAGTTTGTCGACAAAAGAGAGAACACGACTTGGCATTCGATTGATTAAATGAGTGGCCGTTAGAACAGCATCCCCCCAAAAAAATTTAGGTACATTACTTGTGAACAGGAGTGCGCGGGCAACCTCAAGCAGATGTCGATTTTTTCTTTCGGCAACACCGTTTTGTTGTGGACTATGAGGACAAGAGCTATTGTGGACAATGCCATTGCTTTTTAGAAAAGAGTCAAGCTGATGATTAAAAAACTCAATGCCATTATCTGTGTATAAAACCTGAATCGTGGTGTTAAACTGATTTTGGACAAGTCGAAAAAATTCCATAAAGACAGTAGGAACAGCAGATTTTTCTTTTAGTAAGTAGACCCAAGTCATTCGTGTATGATCGTCAATAAAGGTTACAAACCATTTTGAGTGGGTACGGTTTGAAATACGAGATGGACCCCAAACATCACTGTGAATTATAGAAAATGGACGAGTGGGTTTGTATTGGGATGGTGGGAAGGGTGTACGGTGGTGTTTTGCAAATGTACTAGAATCACAATGTAAATGGAAATTTTTATTAATGGAAAAATGAGGAAACAAACATTGCAAATAAGAAAAACTGGGATGACCCATCCGTTTATGCCATAATAAAATATCATTATTGTCAGAAGTAGAGACAAGACCATTGATTCGTGAACACAAGGCAGTCACAGTAGAGACGTCTAGATAATAGAGTCCATCATGCTCCCTAGCTATGCCAATCATCTTCCCCGATGAGAGATCCTGAAAAATACAGTAAGTGGGAAAAAAATAAACTCCACAATTGGCATGTTTAGTTATCTTGCTAACAGAAAGAAGGTTACAAGCCAGATGAGGGACATGTAAGACAGAATTGAGATGTAGGGAATCTGAAATAGTAACCGAGCCTTTTCCAGCAATGGGAGAACCAATACCGTTAGCAGTGGTGATATTATCATTACCAGCACAGGGAAAATAGGTAACAATCATGTGAGCATCCGAGGTCATATGGTCAGTAGCACCAGTGTCAACTATCCATTTGTTGGATGTGAAGGAGGTGTGAAAAGTGAAAGGAGGAGTACCTGTATGAGCTACGGAGGTCGACGCAGCAGGGGAAGGTTGCCGTGCTGGGAGACCTTTAAGAGCAATAAGTAGTTGATGCATTTGCTCATTCGACAAGGCTGGAAGAGAATCAGAAGATTGGGAGGTTTCTGGTGATACCTGATAGCCTCGAGGCTTACCCTTTCGAGGTTTCCAATCAGCTGGTTTGCCATGGATGTCCCAACAACGTTCACGAGTGTGACCCGTTTTTTTACAGTGATCACAAGTGATTTTACCCTTCGTGGAGGATGACGAGGGCGCCCCTTTACTGATAAGAGCAGAGGAGTCAGAGATAGATGTTGGGGTTAGCATAATATTACGACGTGATGCTTCACGGCGGACTTCAGAGAACGCCTCACGAGTGCTAGGTAGTGATGCACAGCTGAGAATACGACTGCGAAGGTCATCAAAGTCAGGATTCAAGCCGGCGAGAAACTGAAACACACGTTCTTTCTCAACAGTGTTTTTGTGTCGTGCAGCGTCAGCAGATGACGTCCATTCTTCCTCGGTGATCATATCCAACTCTTGCCATAATCCGACAAGCTCCAACCAGTAATCGGTGACGCTGCGAGACCCTTGTTTGATGTTCCAAATTCTAGTCTTGAGATCATAGAGCTGCGCGAGGTCCTCACCATCAGAGTAGGATTCACGAACAGCATCCCATATCTCTTTGGCAGTCGGCAAGTACATAAAACTCCGTTTAAGTGTAGGTGACATTGCATTAATCAACCAGGAGCAAACGAGTGAATTATCCGTGAGCCATCGCTGCATCTCCGAGGACTTGGGATCACTGGGTGCGGTCGACTCTCCTGTGATCAACCCGAGCCTTCCGCGACCTCCAATAGCCAACCGCATTGCTTGAGCCCACTCTCTATAATTACTGCCGGTAAGTTTTTCCGACACGAGGGTGATGGAGGAGGCATCGAAACTGACCGTAGACGCTGAGGAATTACCGGTCGAGACAGAGTTGTTCGTAGGCGATCCACCAGGGGGGTCCATCGTGGTCGGTCGTTGCCTGGAGTTCGACCCAGCTTGTACGTCCTCCGATGTAGAGGAGGAATGAGAGGAACCTGCCGGACTCGACGATGGATGGACGTCGGCCGGCTCTGATACCATGAAGACGTGGTATACAGAGTAATATTGATCTATTATTCAGAGTGCACTGTACATCAGATATATATAAGGAAAAGAGATAAACTGAGATAGAAGGAGATTACAGAGGATCACGCAATTAATCTAGGAGTAATTTAAATTTAAATCTGATCTCCTAATCTGCCTAGGATCGTGGGAGTAGATATTCACTAAATATTAAATATTAAATATTAACTACAAAAACCAACCCACTTAAATACCCCAATAAGCATCTCATACTACTCAATGTAAGACTTAGGCAGCTTAAATCAGGTGGACTTGTTTGGCAGAATTTAGAACTGATTGAGCTTATATATTTTTAAGCTCTCCGGACGCTCAATTGGAATAAGCTCCAAAAAGGAGCTTATCAATTAAATCAGAAGAGCTTCTCGGGTTAGCCGTTCTGCAATGTCAGAAAGGATTCTTTTTTTCTCTCTCATCTACCTTTTCCTTCCAACTCGGTCCCTTCTTTTTCACTCCTCAGTCTTCTTAAAATATTTTTTATGATTTTTTAAAAATTTTAAAATTTAATTCACTCATTAAATTTGATTTCTTCTTATTAAATTCTTTTAATTTTATTATATTATGTGAAATCAATTTTGTATCATGTTTCATTATTTATTAAAACCCATACTCATTTTGATAATTTTTCAGCTAAACTTATTTTTACTCAACTATAATCCAAACAAGCTTTTACCAATCTCACTTTTGCAAACTAACTTTTCTGAACTCCAATCCAAACACAATTCAGCTTATCCAATTTAACTTTTACCAACTTCACTTTCCATAAACTGCTTTTCCAATCGCTGATCCAAACAGAACCTTGGTATCTCATACTACCAAGTCTCAACAATATATCAAAGAAAATGCTTAAATTAACATTCTTGCCCCATTCTAGTCTCTCCATTCTCTTTAATTCAAAATTTTCTAAAGGCCATGAAGGGTAAAGTCGATTGCTCCACAAATATTTCTTTCTCTCTTTTTTTTTTTTTTTTTTTTTTAAACTTTTCCCCAAACACATTAGATGTAACATCTGCTTTAATTGCTGAACCACACAACCACCAAAACTTAACCCAGGTGACTGACCACACCAGAAAATCTCAATAATCATGAATTTCAATGATTATCACTTACGTTGAACATTCTTCGTATATTCCAATCCAATCCCTAGTTGGACCACCAAAAGTTTCACTTCTCTGAAAATACTCCGCAATAAGCTTTAGGTTTCCTGGCAAGAAGAATCAAGCATATTAGTGTACAAAATAAAACTGATTGACAAAATTAAGCAACCTTAAATGGATCCCCATTTGGCATGCATCTAAGCATTTGGAAAGAGTAGCGCAAAAGAATACAACTGTGTAGGGTCTACATCCACATATCATCCTTTTTCTCCCTATCTATCTCTTCAAATTCTCAACATATATTCAATCTTATGAATGTAGGAAATCCAATCCAGACTCAATAGTTAGATAAAGTTCCCAGAAAGAGATCACTCTGTCAAGCAAATTTTTTCCTGGAAGAAAGGTATCAAGTCTTTCTAGACATTCTATTAAAACATGATGTGATTTTCTTTTCTACCAATTCAAATCTTTATCTTTCTTCTTCTTTGTGAATGTGCTTGCCACTATGTTCAAAGATACCAAAACATCTCATGAGTTTTTTCAATATTCTGTTTGTCACAGTAATTTTCATTGTCCCCATCCCCCAGGAAAACTTATTAGGTAGCTATATTCCCTTTTCTTATTGAAGTCTAAATGATTTTTTTATTATATAAAAGAAAATCGAAAATGTAGAGCAATGCAATTTAACGAAATTTTGATTACTTAATATGATCAACCTATCTGTTTCCACTTATACATTTCCTTTGAATGAAAGAAACTTCAAGCTCCAGTTATACCAATGTAATTACCAAACATTAACCAAGCAAAAAGTTGTATAAGCAGCAGCAACATCTACTCATTCCTAGCCAAATACGAGCCACGATTTTTGGTACAAGTAAAGCAAGAACAACTTACGCAAGTCAATGTCAAAAAGCCTCTTCAGGCCAGGCCTTTGGACTTTAACAACTACTTTTTCTCCATTATGCAGGAGAGCACGATGAACCTACAGAATGGCCAACCAAAATTCATATCAAACAAAAATAAACAAGCTCAAGGATTGCATGCATTCTATGAAAGCTACATTGAAAGTATTTGCCAAATAACATTACATGAATATTGCAGTTTGGTTGACTGCAAGAGTAAAAGTTAGAAAGTTCAAATTAAACCATCAAAATCTTTATATTGCTCCAAACCTACTAGGAAAGAGCCCATAGCTACTTTGATGTTCTCATCTCACTTTCTATAAAATTTTCAGACCACACCATATCATACTATAGCAAAAAATCTTGAAAAATGTTAATAAAAATGAAAGTAGACACATAACACCGTTACTCAAATACCTGACCAAGACTAGCAGCAGCAATTGGCCGATCTTCAAACTCCTTAAACAACACATTAATTGGCGCCCCTAGTTCACTCTCAATGAAGCCTATTGCTTTCTTGGGCGAGAAGGCAGGGACTTTATCCTGCAGAATATTTTTTTGAGAATCACACTGATTAATCATCAAATACCATATGCAAATATAGTAAATTAATTAGGGTAAGGGATTTTTTATTTTGAATAAGATATTTGTGTTAATAAGGATAAAAAAATTGGGAAAAAAGATGAGATCGTAAACAAGAATACCTGCAACTTTGCAAGCTCATCCACAAATTCACGGGGAAATAGATCTGATCTTGTTGATGATAACTGTCCCAGCTTGATGAAAGTTGGACCTAGCTGTAAGACACACTCCCGTAGCCATGAGGCAGTTTTCCGTCTTCTGGTTTTCTGAATGAAATGATGATTAAACACTTCAATAATGAAGCTTGACAAAATAAGAAAAAAGTAACTTGCTTCTAGCTGCAGAAAACTATGTTAAGGGGCTTTAGATTGATAATGACTAAATCAACATGTAACATGGAATTTTTGTAAGAATCTACCTGCTTTTCTTCTGTAAAGCCTCCTAAATATGCCCATTTTGCATTGTCCAACAGAACACGTATGCGTAACGAAAGAACAAATGACCAAACATCTACAGACCTCTGCACAGAATTGTAATTTTCATTGGCCCAACTGAAGCCTTCATCTGAAGGCAAGACTTTAATCTCCTCCAGCGGCAGAAGTTCTTGTGAGTTTCCAGACTTCATTGTCTTTGTCAGGGATGTGATAGGATCTTTTCTTATCACAGCTGCCCCATTGACTACTTGCTTTGAACCATTCACTGTCTTGCCTTTATTTGCTGTCGCTGTCCTTCTTTTCACAAGCTCAGTTGCTGGTACCATTTTAACAGGTCGACCATTGGCGCCGTACTTTGATGATGGCGCCTCAGTCTGTTGCATCTCCATTAGAAACCTTGGAAATCTGTGTTTCTTAGCCAAAAGATGGCTTGAATTTTTAAAACTAAAAAATCTATCAGTAGAAATTGAGCCAGAGAATCCAAGAGTGGTTGGTGCTCTTCCCTGGCTGGTCAACTCTACATGGTGACAATAGCAACCATGTGAAGCCATTGTCGCTGACATCTAAGATTAAGGTCCCTGCAAAATAAGGACCAATTAACGAGAAATATCAAATTAATTCTAGACTCCACAAAGAAAACCAGGGAACACAATTTAGCAGTTTCAATGCAGGTGCAGAGATTAATCATAGTAGCTGACAGGAACAAGCCTCAAGTGGAAGGCCGATAGTTGAAGGACAAATGAATCAAGGGTAAAAAGAACATATAAATTCTTGTTAAAATTTTCAAGTGTTAGGCTAGAAAGGAAAAAAGTTAATTCAAATAACCAATACATTCTTTGGACGCCACATTATCCCCTCAGAAACGTGTTTATCCCCATTTTAGCAAAAATGGGGAATTTCATTCAAGCCAACAGTAAATCAAAAGAAAACAAAGACCAGGTAAGCAAACTGGGGAAAAATAACCATACAATAAATAAAAAAATCCTTCAAAACCTCAGCCACGTATAATAACAATACAATAGAACGAAAAACGACACGAGTCATCATCATACACGGTCGAGAAAAGGAATGCGCATGACTGTAAACAGGCATGCACAAAATCCTAATTAAGAACGTTTAATAACAATACAATAGAACGAAAAACGACACGAGTCATCATCATACACGGTCGAGAAGAGGAATGCGCATGACTGTAAACAGCATGCACAAAATCCTAATTAAGAAATCCTAAACTCTAAACACTAAATACCTGAATCCTTTTGATTTTACCGTAGAAACAAACTCAGCTATCTGCCCAAGCCTTTAGAACGGGCACCGAAGAGCGTTCAGCTACTTGGACTTGTTGCGTCTTGCTTCTATTCCACTCTTCCTACTACCCAAAGATGAATATCGAAAAAAGGAAAACAGCGAGAGATTGCTCAGAATTTTTAATCAAACTGAAAATACTTACAGAACAAGATTAATACGAACCACACATTTCAGTTCCTCGAACCAAAGTGAGTAAAGTGAAATACGCCTAGGAACGGTGAAGACTGATGACCCCTACAGCCCTAAACGTTAAAGGAGGATTTTCTTGCTTCGAAGTTTCAAATAGCTAGACACTGATCGAAGCATGAACGTGGCTCTTGAAGTTGATTTTGAATGTGTATTAACGACAAACCGAAATGGATCTTCATCTACCGCCAATCAGTTGGTTTTGGTGCGTGCAAGACTCTGCTACTTAAAATCTGAGCGGTCGTCCTCGTCCCTCTAAAATAAGAGAGAATCTTTTGGGGGAAAAAAATTTTAAATTTTAAAATTTTAAATTAGTTGTATATATTAGGGAAAATGACAATAAAATACCACTTGAATTTTAAAAGGACAAATAAGGGACCTGAATAAGCAAAATGACAAGGAGGTCACTGGGAACCAATCTGGAATTAATATTTTCGGCCAAAAGACCAAAACGCCCTGATGAATGCGGGAAGACCGAAAGCTGAAAGTGAGAGAAAGGAGAGAAGAAGACCGACGCAGTGAGAGAAAGGAGAGAGGAAGACCGACGCTGATGAAATGCGGGAAGAAGGAAAGAAGAATGTTGGAAATGCTATTATCTTACTCCTTCGCATCACCATTCTGTAGAGATTGTTGATTTTGGTTGTGGGAAAGAGGATTTGTAGTGAGAGAGGGAGTGAACCGAAGCGGAAATCAGCAAGCAATTACGTAACGTAACTGCTGTGATATGCCTGCTGGTTTTTGGTAAATCCCATTACGTGAATGGTAAATTTCACTATACATGTAGTTAATTATGAATTTTACAAAATACATATTGTGATTTATAACTTTTGTAGTGAAAGTGACTACTTTGTTAATGGGTTTTGCAACCTGTTTTCAGGAGATAAACAACTTGTTTGTAAAAACTAATAAAATTTCACGCTAAATTTGACAAAACGTATAATGGGATTTACAACTTCCGTAGTAAAAATGACCACTTATTCAATGGGTTTTGTAACTTGTTTTCAGGGATGGGCAGCTTGTTTCTAAAAACTAATAAAATTTCCTACTAAATTTGACAAAACACATAGTGAGATTTACAACTTTCGTAGTGAAAATTACCACTTCTTAAATGAGTCTTACAACCTCTTTTCAAGGAATTGACAACTTGTTTCTAAAAACCAATAAAATTCCATGCTGAATTTTACAAAACATAGAGTGATATTTACAACTTTGTAGTGAAAATTACCACTTCTTAAATGAGTTTTGCAACCTCTTTTCAGGGGATGAGCAACTTGTTTCTAAAAACCAATAAAATTCCATGCTGAATTTTACAAAACACACAGTGATATTTACAACTTTTGTAGTGAAAATTACCACTTCTTAAATGAGTTTTGCAACCTCTTTTCAGGAGATGAGCAACTTGTTTCTAAAAATCAATAAAATTTGATGCTGAATTTTACAAAACACACAGTGATATTTACAACTTTTATAGTGAAAATGACCACTTCTTAAATGAGTTTTGCAACCTCTTTTCAGGGGATGAGCAACTTGTTTCTAAAAATCAATAAAATTTGACGCTGAATTTTACAAAATACACAGTGATATTTACAACTTTTATAGTGAAAATGACCACTTCTTAAATGGCTTTTGCAACCAGTTAATTCAACGTGACTACAAAAGTTGTCACTTTTATTAGTTTTTACAAACAAGTTGTTTATCTCCTGAAAACAGGTTGCAAAACCCATTAACAAAGTAGTCACTTTCACTACAAAAGTTGTAAATCACAATATGTATTTTGTAAAATTCATAATTAACTACATGTATAGTGAAATTTACCATTCACGTAATGGGATTTACCAAAAACCAGCAGGCATATCACAGCAGTTACGTTATGTAATTGCTTGCTGATTTCCGCTTCGGTTCACTCCCTCTCTCACTACAAATCCTCTTTCCCACAACCAAAATCAATAATCTCTACAGAATGGTGATGCGAATGAGTAAGATAATAGCATTTCCAACATTCTTCTTTTCTTCTTCCCGCATTTCATCAGCGTCGGTCTTCCTCTCTCCTTTCTCTCACTGCGTCGGTCTTCCTCTCTTCTTTCTCTCACTTTCAGCTTTCGATCTTCCCGCATTCATCAGGGCGTTTTGGTCTTTTGGCCGAAAATATGAATTCCAGATTAGTACCCAGTGCCTTATTTGTCATTTTGCTTATTCAGGTCCCTTATTTGTCCTTTTAGAATTCAAGTGGTATTTTATTGTCATTTTCCCTATATATTACGCTTTAATAATAATTAATAATATTTAAAAAACAAATCATAACATATTTTTTGTAGATATTTCTGATTGAAATTTTGAAATTTTAAAAAAAAATTTTGGATTTTCACAATTAGGAACACATTTTTTCTTTATATATATATTTTTTTCACAACCACATTTATTTTATTTGACCTCATAACTTTAGGCCTAAGAAAATTTTTGGAGAAAACGTACTATCAGTCTTTATATCGGAGGAAAATAGTAAAAATGATATTTGATAATTATGTCCAATTTTAAAGGAAGGACTTGTATTGTGTTTGTTTATGAAATAGAAAGTTTGGACAAGATTAGTAATTTTGTGATATAAAAGTTCCCTTATCCATGTGGCATGAACGATCCGTTTGTAACGTGCCTAGTTTTTGTATCCAAAAAGAAACTAGGCTGCCTGGGAATGGTTAGTTTGTTTAAAATGATTTATAAATAATTTTTTAATTGTAATTTATAAAATATGTAAGTAAAATTTTATCTCCAACTCGTGTTTTTGATCACAAACAAACAAGCACATGAGTTGTTATTTTCAAACAACAGTATTGAAATTTTCCTTTTCGGGAGTAACAGATTTGATTGTTCTGGTAATTTTTCACATGTGCAGCAGCAAGTCTCCGTTTTACTTTGAAACGGAATCATACTTTGCGGTAGACATTAGACAATCGCAATGTCCCCATGGGGCTATTGTAGATCAAAAGGGAAGACAAAATTTTTCTCCTTTTGCAAATTACAGTATTCAAATTGTTAAAGTTGGATTACACTAGATCTCATCAGAAATGTTTTTTACTTCTCAGGAATGATTTTTTATTCGTAATATTTGAATTCAGGATTTTGGTTATAAAATTAAATTTATTACCACTTTTTTTTTTGCCAGCGTATGACCACTTAATCTCATTACAGTGATTTTTTTTTTTTAATGTTTTGGCAATTACCTTATCATTATTTATAATGGATCTAATCTGTGGAGTGGATTTTGTCATCGTGGCTAGCTGCTACTCTGACAAAATAGGGCACATAAAAGAAAATGGCGTGAAAATTAATAAACAAATAGCGATAGATCCTAAAATTTCACGTGGATTCGTATAATCGATACAACCATCCATGTGGTGGCTCCAGAAGGTGAGTGCTATTGCTCCCCTACCTTTCTATAAAAAAAAAAAAACACATTTTGTAATATAAATTATATTATAGAATTAGTCTTTCATTTAAAATTGGAGAAGTATAATATCAAAATATTACATTTGTGTTAATAAGAAAATCAAAATAATATTATTTAGGGGGCATTTGGTATCAAGAAAATGGATGGAAGAAAAATTTTCAATAAACTTGTTTCAAAAAATTAAGGAAGTAATGTTGCAAAATTTCGATCAAAAGAATATACAATATAAAAAAATTAAGAAAAATTAATTAAAACATTTTGACTCCATTTTTTAATTTTTAAATTGAGATTATTAAAAATTTTTCTCCTCTTTCTTTCGTTTCCAGCATACCAAATGAGTCCTTAGGAAGAATCTAAAAAAATTGAAATTACTAAATCCCAAATAAAGAATTACAACAAAAATGTATTATTATTTGTAAGGCCAATATTATCAAAACTTATTAAAATATTGTTTTTTGCCACAACCTATTAAAATATTGGTAACAAACCTGATTTGAAATTTAATAATTTTGGACATCTTTTTGTAGAATTCTCTCATATATTTATATCCAATAGAGCACCATATATTGAAATTAAAATTATAAAAATATTTGAAAACTTATTGAATAAATTATTTAAAATTTAAAATTTTTTTGTCAAAATGTATCGAATTATGCTGCAATAAAAGTTATTAACTATAATTTTCCGTCTTAAAAAAAAGGAGTTATTGATGATATGCGCTTACCATTTAAATTCAGGTGAAAATTTTAATATTAGACTTTTTAATCTCTTCAATTTCTTTCATGTAAAATAATAAAAAAGCATACTATTAGTGCGGAAAGATAGTTAAGTGCGTGTTGGCTGCTTCAATCAAAACATTGTTCTTCCAAAGATATATTTACTAAAGGTATTTACATATTATTATTCAATACGAAGCAGATCACTAATATACATAAATTAAAAATATTAATTAAATTAGTTATTCAGAAAAAAATGATATTTATTTTGTCAAAATACATATTTGATCATTTGCATTAAAAAACTACTTTCTAAATTAAAAAAATTTCCCAACATATAAAATCAATAGAAAAAATTAGAAAAAAAATAAATTTGAAATAACAAAGTAAACTAAATTAAAATCTTATATTTAAGTTAAAAGAAAAATAAAAAGGTTTATAATGAGATTTAAATAAATTATATAGACTGGGACAATTTTATGATAGAATTGTAACATCTCGAATTTTGAGCATAGAAGTATAAGAATTATCTTAAAAATGGTAAGCTACCAGATCTTTTTTGGCAGGAGTTCCAAAGGTTCTCTAGAGGGACAGAGGAATTCCCAGAGACTAAATCGCAAAATGAAAGTTTTTCGAGACTGAGATAAGAGGAAATTAGAAACTTCAGTGAAGTCTTGAGGCCCAGAAATGAGAAATAGAAATGGATATAGGCCAAAAGGTATATTAAAAGTCCAAATGAGATGAATTATGGGGTTAAGCTGAACTAGGACAAAATCATAATTTTACAAAGTTTCAGACTGGAAAGGGTAAAGATGAAAATTATGCCCAAAAATTCCAAAAAAATCACAAAAAAAGGGTAATGGCATGTTAAGACCTATATGTGAAGAAAAATTACAAAAATACCCTTGAATTGACTTTAAATTAATTTCAAAGATTATGGCTTATTTTGAGGTATAAAATTAGATTTAATTATTTGAA